AGAAAAAAACTGTCACTCTGACTATAACCACAAGGAAAAGCTGGATAGCCTACAACATCAAAATTTTTCTTGAATCTAATAGAGAGAAGACATAGGACAATAAACTAGCCTGATATTTAAAGAAAGGTGGATGCTTCCAACAAGATAGGCAATTCGAGAGCTATTTACCTGAGGCAGAGCCCCTGGGAAAGACAAGGCCATTTCAGAAGGGATAAGAAGATTGCAAGTAAAATTTTATGATGATTCCATAGTTTCATTTTAACAATTTGCTGCTGTGGCAGAGTCTGAGCTTCTGCCATATGGAAGATACAGATGCAAGGGGAATTTACACCCCTTCACAAGCTTTTCTTTACAAATCTCATAGAATGTTCCCAAGAAAGGTCCAGGTCAGAGAAGGCAGCAGAGGAAGACTCCTGTGGTCACACAAACCAGCCAGAGAGGAACAAAGACCTAATGAACAAAAGGCACTGTGGGTGGGGAGGGAGGCAGAGCTGCAAACCCTTTGAGGCTAGGGAAAGGGGGACAAAGAAATCCTTCTCTCCTGAGGAAGAAACTGGAAGCTTTCTCCCTCACAAGAACCAGCAAGACCTGAGGTGAACATCTGCCCTGGGGAGGAGGGCATAGTCACTGAGTAGGTTCTGGCCCCAATATCCAAGAACATAGGTACTGCCTGATACTGAGGCTGAACCAAGAAAGCAGAAAGCCTCTTCCCCAAGCAGGCTAGCAAATGCTAGCAAGAATCTGCACTGGGGAAGGTGCGAGAGTGGCAAGATACTCTCTTGGGCTCAGATTCATAAGGAAAGCTGGAAGCCTACTTCCATCATAAGCAAAGTGACACTAATTGCCAAAAACTGATGACAACTGGTGAGTGGACAAACTGTAATAAACCGATATCATGGAATATTACAGCAATAAAAAGGACCGAACTGTTGGCCTTTACAATATCATGGCTAGATCTCAAAGGCTCAGTGAAAAAAGACAGACTCAAAAGAGCACATGTCATACTATTTGGTTATATTTATATGATATTCTAGAATAGGCAGAACAATAGGGACAGAGATCAATAGTTGCCAAAGGCTGAAGGTGGGTGAAGTGTCGACTTCAAAGAGGCATGAAGGACTGTTGAAAGTGATAAAACAGTTCTATATCCTGACTGCGGGGGCGGTTACATGTCTAGCATTTGTCGAAACTCATAGAGCTATACAATAAAAATTCGTATGATAGTCACTCAGCTGTGTCCGACTCTGCAACCCCATGGACTGTAGTCTGCCAGGCTCCTCTGTCCATGGGAATTCTCCAGGCAAGAATACTGCAGTGGGTTGCCATTTCCTCCTCAACATAGGGATCAAACCCAGGTCTCCCACATTGTGGGCAGATTCTTTACTGTCTGAGATGATTTTAACCCAAAAGGATGATTTTAACCACATATAACTTACATCTCCAAGATATTTAAAATTAAAAGAAAACAATTTCATTGCAATTAAATTGCTCATCAAAAAACAACATTAAGAGTGTGAAGAGACAAGTTACAGATTGGGAGGAAAAATGGAATTTGCCTACAGAACATATAAAGAACATACAAATGAGTAAGAAAAAGAGCAGACAATGGAATAGAAAAATGGGCAAAGGAAAAGTGGCTGTTTCACAAAAGAGGATATTCAAATTGCCAATATGCATAAGAAAAGCTGCTCAATATCTTTATTCTAAACGTAAATGAAAATCATAATGAAGTGCCATTACACATTCATCAGACTAGCTGAAGTTAAAGATTTGGCAATATCAATGTTGGTGAGAACGTGGATTAACTGAAACTGGTTGTAAATTTTTATAACCACTTTGGAAAACTATTTGGAAGTATTTAACATGAGCCTTATGATTCAGCAATTCCACTCTGAGGTTACTCCAAGAGTTACAACGGCCTATGACCACCATAAGTCAAGATCAAGGATATTCATAGCACCATTATCATAATATGAAAAGCTGGAAGCAACTCAAATGTCCACCAACAGGAGAAAATACAAATAAACTGTGGTATATGTATATGCACAAAATATTACCCAGATGATTATGACATGCAACATGGATGGAACTCACAGATATAATGCATGAAAGAAGGATCAAAGAGTATATACTGTATGATTTGACTCATATGAAATTCACCAATAAGCAAAACTAATCTTGAATGATTAGATGAATTCAGAATAGTAGTCATGGATGGGGCTAGTATATATTGGGGTTTTCCCTATAGCTCAGGTGGGAAAGAATCTGCCTGCAATTCAGGAGACCCCGGTGTGATTTCTGGGTCAGGAAGATCCCTGGAGAAGGGATGGCTACCCACTCCAGTATTCTTAGGCTTCCCTTGTGGCTCAGATGTAAAGACTCTGCCTGCAATGAGGGAGACCTGGGTTCGATCCCTGGGGTTGGGAAGATACCCTGGAGTAGGGCATGGCAATGGCAATCCTCTCCAGTGTTCTTGCCTGGAGAAACCTCATGGACAGAGGAGTCTGGCGGGCTACAGTCCACAGGGTCACAAGGAGTCGGACATGACTGAGCGACTAAGCAGAGTATATACTGAGAAGAGATGTGAGGGAGCATTCTGAGCTCTTCTATATCTTGACCTCAGTGGTATTTCTATGGGCAGCATACATTTGTAAAACTTTACTCAATAGTACATTTATGTTCTATGTACTCTACTGCATGTATGTTTTCCTCAATGTAATACAAAAACAGAAAATATCCCCTTCAGCACATCCTAAGGTCTAATGATAATGTGTGCAAAATGAGTGTAAACAGACTAGGAGTATATAAGGATTTGTCAAGACCCCTGACCATCCCTCCTCTCTTTTATTTTTTCATAATCACTGAGTATTTCTCATTAGCCACAGATGGAGATGAAACATCTATTAGCTCTGTAGCCCATGGTAGATTGGGCTTTGTGTGTGCGTGTTTGTTAGTCATATCCAACTCTTTGTGATTACATGAGCTGTAGCCCACCAGGTTCCTATGTCCATGGGGTTTCCCAGGCAAGAATACTGGAGTGGGTAGCCATTCTCTTCTCCAGGGGATCTTCCCGACCCAGGGATCAAACCTGGGTCTTCCAAATCACAGGCAGATTCTTTACCATCTGAGCCACCTTGGAAACTTCATGTAACTTCTATTGCTTTTAGGTCCTAAGCTTATGCAATGTCAAAAGAAATATCTTTTTGTTTAAAATACTGCAGAGGAGGAAATTTTCCTCTAATGTTTTCAAACAGAGACATTTATTTGCTTGTTTTTTGATTTATTTATTTGTGGCTGTGCTGGGTCTTTGTTGCTGTGAGGGCTTTTCTCTGGTTGTGGGAGAAAGGACTACTCTCTAGTCACCATGCATGGGGCTCATTGTGGTGGCTTCTCTTGTGGTGAAGCATAGGCTCTAGGCGAAAGGCTTCAGTAGTTGCAGCACACAGACTCATTAGTTGTGCCTCCAGGGCCCTAGAGCTTCCAGACTTCCCAAGTTGTATAAGGTCAGTAGTTGTGGTGCATGAGCTTAGTTGCTCTGAGGCATGTGGAATCTTCCCGGACCAGGGATTGAAGTCGTGTCCCCTGCATTGGCAGGCAGATTCTTAGCCACTGGACCACCAGGGAAGTCCAAGACATTTGTTTTTATATGCTATTAATTGCTATAATGTAACATCTACCAGCTTGTTTTTTCTTTCAAGAGAATAAAATGTTGCCACATCCTCCTACTGTGTCATTTATCAATAAATTAAGATCTGTGCACTTTACTGTGTGTATGCTGTACCTCAATACAGTTGTGTGTGTGTTGCATGTACCTTTATTTCTCAAGTACAAACAAGCAGTTGGCAGTATACTGCAGTTACAGAAATAAGTTTCAGAGAACTGCCTAAGGTCACTAACTCCCGGTTCAACAGTTTCATGGGTAATAGTATTCTCAGAAATTCTGTGAGGTCCAAACAGTCTCCTGCCCAGGGACTTCATCAGTGAAGGATTAGTCAACTCCTCGTCCTGTCTCAGCTCCTCCAGTCTGTATGGGTCAGGCCATTCTACTCTTTAAGTATAAGGGGGATGGGCACATCACAACTCCCAAGCATCCTGCAGAGTAAGCAGGTCACCTTAGGGGCAGCCTTTACCCACACAAAAATTCATCTCACATTAGTTGTGAGGATTCAGTGTCACCCCCAATCATAATTGTCCTTACTCAGGAGTTTAAAACATGATACAACTTTTGTTTGACAGCCCTTCCAACACTCCTAGAGAAGCCAAATCCACCTGGGGCCTCTGGGACTCATGCACCCATGATCCATCGGAGGGGCACAGTTACTCCGAACATAGCAGCCACTCTTGTTTGCAGTTCTGCCATTAAGGCCGTTTCTCTGTACTTCCCGATTTTGTGCTGTCTGTACTTCCCTGTGAGCCTCAGACATCAGTCCCCAAGACTCCACTACAAGAATTACCCACTCAACTCCCCAAGCCATCCTGGAGGTTCCTCACTGGGTCTGGGCAGGAGGAAAACCCAAACTGCTTCCCATCTCACTTTGTTGAGAGCTCACACAGCCCATCAAGCTCTCCCCAACGTATTTCTTCACAAATCCTCCCTCCTCTTCGTAACTGGATCTTTTTTTTAAAGAAATCATCTTTAATATGAATGAGAGGTTCATGAGTCTGAATAAGTATCAGACATTTACTCTATAATTACACTGCATTTTCATCCCGCACCTCATGCTGATGTACAGCATTCATGGTTGGTATTGGATATCCACAATCAAAACTTCAATACTCACCTCCTGTTATAGTAACTTCAGGTTGAACTGTATGAAACTGGTGATTGCTCACAATGTTTTGATTTAAAGGAATTGCAGTTTCATATAGTTCCAGCTAACAATTTTATTCAAAATAGGCTTTTTAGAGAAATTTTAGGTTGGAATTGAACAAACAGGAAAAGTGAATTCTGAACTGAATACTCAGGCAAATACTGAAGCATCATCTGCAAAGCGTCTCACCTTGGCTTTCAGATCAGCACACACTTCCTGTTGCTTTTTCCTGTCCTTATCCAACATGCTTTCCATTTCATGAGTTGCACAGGCTTCGGCCAGTGTCAGCACAGCCTTCTCTATAAAGTCTCTCCTAGTCTTATTCCAACTTAATATCAGGATTCTTCGCTGCTCCTTAGCAAAGCGATATTGGTCACAATATTTCTCATGTTCGACCTGAAGGGACAATAGATGATAAATGCTTATTATGAAACTGAACTTATGTGTTCTGTCATTGCTAGAAAAGTGAATAGAATGAATTAAAATCAATGATTTTGAAAAGTGAGGACCGAATATCTTAATAGTAAATACAACAATCAGGACCAGGTACCAGTCCCAGATTTTTGGGTCCATGGCTAATTGGTGACTGAGGACCAGTCATTTATTCTTTTTAAGTTCTCATACAGGCTGGAATCAGGCCAGGTGGCCCTAGAACAACTTCTACTTCTATATGACAATGGATCTATGAGCAGAAAACATGATTTCCCCTGCATTTAATTTTAAAAATACTCTAAGTCAGTTTTGCTATATTAATAACAACTTCAGGTGCTTTGGTTAGACATGTGCTAATAAACATTGAAAATCGCTGCAATAATCCTAAAAACTCAGTTTGCCATTGATTAGGGAAACGATCAGATATTAGAACATCTAAACTTAAAATAATTATAGCATTGACTGTAGCTCTTCCCATCCCATGCTCTTGAAGGGCATGCCATTCTTACATGGGTATCAACAGTTCCTGCTGCCAGTGAACACCAACCCTGGGAGATCTGAGTCTTAAAGAAGAGGAAGAGAGAGAGCCTGAGCAGTTTGAAAAACCTCTGTAGGTGATTCTCAAATACTCCTTATAGAAAGGTGTGTGTGTGTCTGTGAGAGCGCAGTTGCTTAGTCATGTCCAACTCTTTGTGACCCCATGGGCCGTAACCAGCCAGGCTCCCCCGTCCATGGGACTTAGAGGCAAGAATACTGCAGTGGGTCGCGATTCCCTTATCCAGGGGTTCTTCCTGACCCAGGGATTGAACCCATGTGTCTTGTATCTCCTGTATTGGCAGGCAGATTCTTTACCACTAGTGCCACCTGGGATGCCCCTATATAAAGGAATGTCACCTGAAATTAAGAGTTGATGACCTAAATAATTCTTCATTTTGCCAGTATAGACCCACATCTCTGAATTTAATGTATTATTTAACCTCTAAGTGATGTGAGAAAAGAACCTAGCTAACAAGATAAGGTGGCTCCTACCTAAAAATATATATATATAATTCACTACTGTTAAATCACGTCAGTTGTGTCCAACTCTTTGCGACCCCATAGACAGCAGCCCACCAGGCTCCCATCCCTGGGATTCCCCAGGCAAGAACTCTGGAGTGGGTTGCCATTTCCTTCTCCAGTGCATGAAAGTGAAAAGTGAAAGTGAAGTCACCCAGTCATGTCCTACTCTTCGCGACCCCATGGACTGTAGCCTACCAGGCTCCTCCATCCATGGGATTTCCCAGGCAAGAGTACTGGAGTGGGTTGCTATTGCCTTCTCCATATATAATTTAGGTATAGTTAATTAAGTACATGATGGTATGATCAGTCACCTTAGAGCCAGACATCCTGGAATGTGAAGTCAAGTGGGCCTTAGGAAGCATCACTACGAACAAAGCTAGTAGAGGTGATGGAATTCCAGTTGAGCTATTTCAAATCTTAAAAGATGCTGTGAAAGTGCTTCATTCAACATGCCAGCAAATTTGGAAAACTCAGCAGTGGCCACAGGACTGAAAAAGTTCAGTTTTCATTCCAATCCCAAAGAAAGGCAATGCCAAAGAATGCTCAAACTATCACACAATTGCACTCAACTCGCAAGCTAGTAAAGTAATGCTCAAAATTCTCCAAGCCAGGCTTCAAAAGTATATGTGAACTGTGAACTTCCACATGTTCAAGCTGGATTTAGAAAAGGCAGAGGAACCAGTGATCAAATTGCCAACATCTGCTGGATCACTGAAAAAGCAAGAGAGTTCCAGAAAAACATCTAGTTCTGCTTTATTGACTATGCCAAAGCCTTTGACTGTGTGGATCACAGCAAACTATGAAAAATTCTGAGAGAGATGGGAGTACCAGACCACATGAACCAACTCTTAAGAAATCTGTACGCAGGTCAGGAAGCAACAGTTAGAACCGGACATGGAACAGACTGGTTCCAAATAGGGAAAGGAGTACATCAAGGCTGTATATCATCACCCTGTTTATTTAACTTATATGCAGAGTACATCATGAGAAACACTGGGCTAGATGAAGCACAAGCTAGAATCAAGACTGCCAGGAGAAATAACAATAACCTCAGATATGCAGATGACACTACCCTTATGGCAGAAAGTGAAGAAGAACTAAAGAGCCTCTTGATGAAAGTGAAAGAAGAGAGTGAAAAAGCTGGCTTAAAACTCAGCATTCAGAAAACTAAGATCATGGCATCTGGTCCCAACACTTCGTAGCAAATAAATGGGGAAACAGTGAGAGACTTTACTTTTGGGGACTCAAAAATTACTGCAGATGGAGACTGCAGCCATGAAATTGAAAGATGTTTGCTCCTAGGAAGAAAAGCTATGACCAACTTAGACAGCATATTAAAAAGCAAAGACATTACTTTGCCAACAAAGGTCTGTCTAGTCAAAGCTATGGTTTTTCCAGTAGTCATGTACAGATGTGAGAGTTGGTCTATAAAGAAAGCTGAGCACCAAGGAAGTGATGCTTTTGAACTGTGGTGTTGGAGAAGACTCTTGAGAGTCCCTTGGACAGCAAGGAGATCTAACCAGTCCATCCTAAAGGAAATCAGTCCTGAAGTTTCATTGGAAGGACTGATGCTGAAGCTGAAACTCCAATACTTTGGCCACCTGATGCAAAGAGCTGACTCATTGGAAAAGACCCTGATGCTGAGAAAGATTGAAGGCGGGAGGAGAAGGGGACGACAGAGGTCGAGATGGTAGGAAGGCATCACCGACTCAATGGACATGAGTTTGAGTAAACTCCGGGAGTTGGTGATGGACAGGGAGGCCTGGCGTACTGCAGTTCATGGGGTTGCAAAGAGTTGGACATGACTGAGTGACTGAACTGAACGAATTATGTACATAATGAAACAGGCTATGGCTTCACTTAAATATCAGCTACTAAAGTCCATTCTATAAAGTTCTTAGCTTTAGTCCTCAAGGACAAGACTATGCTTAAAACTTATCAAACACTAAGAAAGGAAGTACACACCATACAGAAATGCATACTAATTATCCCAATGTAAGAAGTAAATGCAAAAATCTTTATCGTATTAACAGAAGGCAAATACAAAAATCTACACACAGTTAAAAACAACAGCTGGTCACAGATACAAATGCAATCAATAAGGAATAAAAGGAAAGATCCAATTTAATAAATTAAGACTTGTATAAAATCTAGAATGAATTATTAATATTATATAACATTTTTTTACATAACAAGAATTTGCAATAAAATAAAGGTCAGAATTAAAACAAATAACTGGATGGGGATTGATGGGATAGGAGAGGTTGGTCATACTAGTTCTGTTGCCTTTGCTTCAGTTTCTTCACCTTAAAATTAAGGATAATTACAGTACTTCTCTCATCCATTATTATGTGCACTACAGGAGTTTACACATGACTGACATAAAATAAATTCTATACACATGTTAGTATTTTTTTAAATTAATTTATTTTTTATTGAAGAATAATTGCTTTATAGAATTTTTCTGTTTTCTGTCAAACCTCAAGATGAATCAGCCATAGGTATACATATATCCCCTCCCTGTTGAAGCTCCCTCCTATCTCCCTCCCTCAAGTATTGTTACTTGATTTAAAACAATTACAAAAAAACAGAGTATGTAATAATATTATATGGCATGGCCTACAATATTTAAAAGATAAGAGTCCATACATGTTTGTTTACATATATGTTTTAAAGTGAGTTACTGTGAAATTCATTGGTGACATGGTAACTTCTGTTTCCTTGTCTCTGTGGTCTTGTCCAGTAAAGGATGCAACCATAGCTTCCCAGGCCTGTCTCAGGGAAACTTCAGACAAGGCTCTGATTTATGAATTTGGGTCATTTGTGTTCAGACCCATCTAGGGGATCAAGTGGAGTTGTGGTGGGGATGGAAGTCAAACACAAGCAGAGCCACCCAGAGGACCATGGTGAAGCTCTCTGGGGCAAGTAAGCCACAGAAGAATAAATGTTGCCAGAGGGGTCTCCCATCTTTTTATGCAACATGTAGTTCAGTTGCTAAGTCATATCCTACTCTGTGACCCCACGGACTGCAGCACACCAGGCTTCCCTGTCCTTCACTATGTCCCTGAGCTTGCTCAAACTCAGGTCCATTGAGTCAGCGATGCCATCCAACCACAATGCAAAAGCATCAATTTCTTTGGCACTCAGCCTTCTTTAAGGTCCAAACCTCACATCCATACATGACTACTGGAAAAACAATAGCTTTAACTAGATGGGATTTTGTCAGCAAAGTGATGTCTCTGCTTTTTAATACGTTGTCTAGGTTTGTCATAGCTTTCAAGGAGCAAGCGTCTTTTAATTTTGTGGCTGCAGTCATCATCCACAGTGATTTTAGACACCAAGAAAATAAAATATGTCACTGTCTCCATTTTTTCCCATATATTTGCCATGAAGTGATGGGACTGGATGCCATGGTCTTAGTTTTTTTTGAATGTTGAGTTTTAAGTCATCTTTTTTACTCTCCTGTTTCACTCTCATCAAGAGGTTCTTTAGTTCCTTTTCAATTTCTGCCATTAAGATAGTATCATCTGCATATCTGAGGCTGTTGATATTTCTCCCAGCAGTCTTGATTCATCCAGTCCAGCATTTCACATGGTGTACTCTGCATAGAAGTTAAATAAGCAGAGAGACAATATACAGCCTTGATGTACTCCTTTCCCAATTTTGAACTAATCTGTTGTTTCATGTCCAGTTCTAACTGTTGCTTTTTGACCAGCATACAGGTTTCTCAGGAGGCAGGTAAGGTGGTCTGGTATTTCCATTTCTTTAAGAATTTTCCAGAGTTTGTTGTGATCCACAGAGAATGGCTTTAGCATAGTTATGTACCATACTGTCTTGTAAGATGACAGACTTCATACTATAATACTATTATTTTCTAGAGTGTAGGAAAAAAATAATTTTAGAGCACCATTTAAAGTATATATATGTATTTATACATATATATACCTGCTGCTCTGAGACAACCTAGAGGGGTGGTTTGGGGTGGGAGGTGGGTAGGAGGATCAAGAGGGAGGGAACATATGTGTATACCCATAGCTGATATTGCAAAAACCAACATAACATTGTAAAGCAATTATCCTCCAATTAAAAATAACTTTTAAAAATGTGTGTGTGTGTGTGTGTGTGTGTGTGTATGGTGGCGATTTAGTTGTTAAGTCATGTCCAATTAATGCGACCCTATGGACTGTCGCCTGCCAGGCTCCTCTGTCCATGGCATTTCCCAGGCAAGAATACTGGAGTGGTTTGCCATTTCCTTCTGCAGGGGATCTTCCTGACCCAGGGATCAAACTCAGATCTCCCACATGGCAGACTGGTCTCTTGCATTGCAGGGGATTCTCAGTTATTGCTGAGCTACCAGGGAAGGTGTGTGTGTATGTGTGTGTGTGTGTGAGAGAGAGAGAGAGTGTGTGTGTGTGTAGTTTAGTAATTATTGACCACCAAAACAATTTAACTTGGCAGCATATAAGGTCCAGCACTCACCAAATCATGCCTTGATTTGTGTGGAAGATATCTTTGTAACATGTCCAGATACAAAGTCCTTCTGCCACAGAGATTCCCAGGATACTGATCCAAAACAGCCTGGTAAATCCAGCGGTCTTCATCACTTAACTGGAAGTTTCTGGAAGCAACAAAAATGTCACATGATATTATGATTATTGAGTAATCAAAGGAGATTGAAGGACCTCACACTGTTTAAGCTGTTAGAAAACGACAATGATTACATAAAATGAAGTCTGTAAAAAAATACACTAGCCAAATAAAATGTCTGCTCTATAAAAGGCCCTAAATTCTAACACAATGGTTTCTTTCAATTCATTATTTCATGTTGTCATGAGTTCCAGGCTTAATTTGAAGAGGTTTGACAATGAGACATCATATTTTTAAGATATTCTATCTTTCCTATAATAATATTTTAAAAATCATGACAATGAATGAAATAAACAAACACTGGGAAATAAATTATTAAGCATATAGATTAAAAAGGAATTTTGCTAATTCAACAAAATTCCTATCTCTAGACTGGAGGAAATACAAATGTAGACAAATAAACAATTACATAAAGGAAACTAAGGCCTGAGGAGGAACATATTAAGGTTTGATATTAAAAGAGAGTCTAAAATTATCTTTTACTTTATCCCCTTAACTTCCTACATTGTGGCACTATGACTAAATGTTGGTAGTAAAAAGATACCCAATGGCATTAGATTTCAAAGTGATAAAGAAATCATTTTTCATGGGATCCCTATAAGTTACCTTCCCATTAACATGGCCACCATGCTCCAAAATACCTTTTTTAATTCAGAACTTTCCTAGGCTTTGTGTTCTACAGGAAGTATTAGCAAAGCCCTATGCAGAGTGAAAAGTTTACAGGATCAGCTTGAACTGTAGACTGAATTAATGTCTCTTTATTATTGAGTTTATTTGAATATCATTATTCTTATTTACTAAGTTGGAATAATCAAATACAGATGCAATCAGAGTGAATATTATTAGCAACAAATATTTCTTTGATCTAAGATGAAGACTTACTATTGTTTATTTCTATCATGTCAATGGTCTTCTACTTTAAAGTTAACTGCAATTTAAAGCATTTTTATAATATGTCCTCTATGCCCTTGTAAACTATTTGAAGATTTAAAACAATAAAAACTCTTTAAATCATTGATATTAATTGAAATTTTACCATCCTCATTCAAGTTACTCAGTTTCTTAAGGTATTTTGTTGTTCTGATAAGTAGCAAGAAAGAAACAAAATTATTTTTCAAAGATATCTTCTCTAACGTTTCTGTAATAGGAAGAAAAAGTGAGTTGGAAATGTTCTATTAGGAAGAAACAAAGTCTGCAGTTCTTCTGTATGACATAACAATCTATAGCAGAGAAAGAATTCAAGATTTCATTCATTAAACAAATTGAGGGTTTGGGTTCTCTCTGAATCAGTTATGCATGTATAGTCAATCATAAGGCTTCTACAAATAAAGAATCTCAAATAGGAGGATTAAATCTGAAAAAAAGTTTGCTTGGGTATTTTTGGCATTTAAAACACCCTTGGGCTTCCATGATAGCTCAGTTGGTAAATAATCCGACTGCAGTGCAGGAGACCTGGTTCAATTCCTGTGTCAGGAAGATCCACTGGAGAAGGGATAGGCTACCCGCTCCAATATTCTTGGGCTTCCCTTGCGGCTCAGCTGGTAAAGAATCCACCTGCAATGTGGGAGACCTGGGTTTGATCCCTGGGTTGGGAAGATCCCCTGGAGAAGAGAAATGCTACCCACTCCAGTATTCTGGCCTAGAGAATTCCATGGGCAATATAGTCCATGGGGTCACAAAGAGTTGGACACAACTGGGCGACTTTCACTTTCAAGTCTTCATGGACAGTATCTCAGGTCTTCTCTCAAGGAACTCATTTCATTCATGATCCACACAAATGCATTTTAACAGCAGAGGTAGCCACAGAAAGGGTTTCCCAGGTGGCACAGTGGTAGAGAATCCACTTGCCGATGCAGGAGACACAAGAGATGCAGCTTTGATACATAGGTTATGAAGCCACCCTGGAGTAGCAAATGTCAACCCACTCCAGTACGGACACAAGAGCCTGGCAGCTGCAGTCCACGGGGTTGCAAAGATTTGGACACAACTGAGGATACACACACATGAGGCCACAGAAATCCTCTATTTTTCTACTTGGCAAGCAACCAGAAAAAGGAATAGATACAAAGTCCATTCCTCATTTATGCTTTTAAACTGTTTCTGTAATCAAAAGGACTTGAATACAGTTTGAATTTCCATCTATATTTAACTACAAATGTGGATGTGCAGGGGTGTATGTGCTGGGGAGGAGGAAGAGACAGAACCTAGGTCCAGTAAGTTCTGTTTTTGCTTTTTTTTTTTTTTTTAATTTACTTATTTGCACCAGGTCTTAGATGTGGCACATGGGATCTCCGATCTTTGTTGCAGCATGTGGGATCTTTAATTGTGCATGTGGTATCTAGTTCCTTGACCAGAGATGGAACCTGGGCCCTCTGCATTGAGAACCTGGAGTCTTAGCCACTCCAGGGAACCAGAGAAGTCCAAGTTCTCTTTTAAATTGTCATTTATCTGCACAAAGACTGCTGTTGATGCTAGGCTCAGTCACCTTGATGAGCTAGAATTCTCATCATCAAGATGCTGATAATTCACAGATATAACTTTCTCCTCTGGAGAATTGCCCTGGGCCAAATGGGAACAATCTCACCCAGGAGGCTACTCTCCCACCCACCTTTGAAAGCAACCCCAACCAATGATTGGCTGACACGGGGTACAGAAGACCAGCCCACTTGCCGCAAGTTGAGACCAACTCTGTGATGCCATTTGTGCTCTGGAGTTTCACTGTGAGAGCAAACGGTAACCTGTTTCAACTGAGATCTTCTGCACAGACATCTTCCCTTCCTTCATCCTGCTTCCCTTACCATCCTTTTCCTGAGAGCTTTGCCCAACAAACCACTCAAACCGTTCTTACAATCCCTGTCTCAGAACTGCTTCTATAGAACTTGACCTAAGATAATCTATGAGCAATCTTACCCATAACTGTCAAAAATATTTTAAATCCTTTGGTAAATGGTAAATTTGATGATTTCTCATACTGAATTGTGGTGTAAGATTGTGGCTGTCCTCAAAGAGAAAGTGCAAATAGCAAACATTTACAAAAATGACTTTTAAATAAAAGCACGCATTAAGCAGTGTACATTGCTATAAAAAAAATATGGCAGCAGAAGAATTTGTGGCACTCAGTGTATTTTTATACATTGCATGAATGTATTAATTAGGTGCCATTTTAGTGACATTAAAACCACATAAACATATGAAATGATAACATTAAAACTAGATATTTCAAACCAAGTATGCTATGAACAATGATCACATCCATTTGCTATTGATTTTAGAAACCTCACATCTCAACAGCTTTTTTCAATTACCACAATGACACAAATTGCAAGTCATTATTTTGGTGTATGTAAGATAAAAATGAAAAACACACTTATAAGAAATTATATATAAATACTCACAATAATATTATTTTAGAGTATAGCAGTTTCCATCCGAAAGGAGATCAGTCCTAGGTGCTCATTGGAAGGACTGATGTCGAAGCTAAAACTCTAATACTCTGGCCACCTGACGCGAAGAGCTGACTCATTGGAAAAGACCCTGATGCTGGGAAAGATGGAGGGCAGGAGGAGAAGAGGACGACAGAGGATGAGATGGTTGGATGGCATCATCGACTCGATGGATATGGGTTTGGGTGGACTCCGGGAGTTGGTGATGGACAGGGAGGCCTGGCGTGCTGCCGTTCACGGGGTCACAAAGAATTGGACACGACTGAGCAACTGAACTGAACTGATAGCAGTTTCCAGAGCTGCCAGCTTAAATTCTGAAGCAAATATTCACATCAGCAACACTAATGACACAGTCATACATCTCCATTAGGATGCTGTTTGTGAGGGAGAAAACTCCCACCACCATATATACACTAACTCTCCTGGATAATAAAAATTTAATAGGTATGTTCAAACATGGTAACTTCTTCATAACAATAAACTAGCTATTTCATACTTAGCATTTAAAATGAAATCAAATTTAATGTATCTGAATTTCTAAATTCAAATTTGCACATTTATCTTTTCTAGTCAAACCTTCATCTTTTCATTGTAGAAAAAAATCTGTATGAGATAGTTTAATTATATGAAATAACTAAGGTTAGCTTTTACCTTCCAAAGTTCTTGTTTACTTTACCTGCTTTACAGGTGATTGTGATGACAGAAGTTGCTAAATTACACATATACTGAAAAATACTCCAATTAATTTTCTATCTTTGAATTTGAAAAGTGACTATAAAGAAAAATTTAAAGAAGACTTTAAAATTATCCTAAAATTATCCTAAAATTTAGTACTTTTGAAAATACCTTTAGACAAAAGGTCTTCAGTAAGTTTCTGCAATTTCTTTCTTTTTTGTTTTTTTGTCCATCCAAATTTTCTAATTTAAAATGTTTCAGGAAATTCTAGCCTGCAGGACTCTGAGATATTTACTACTCAATACCTACCTTCCATCCCCTGCTTCCCAATATTGAGGTTGACCAAAATAATTTCATCATGATTTCCCAGAACATGAGAAAACAGGTAACTCAGAACAGGAGGACAACAAGGCTGTGAGAATTCAACCAGACCAAGGCCAACTGCCCCACTAATTCTACCTGTTTGAGTCATTATAAAAAGTCCTAACCAGACTCACAATTAACTACCAGTTTTCTTCATAGTCATGTTTAAATCACTTCCCAGGGTTGTGGTTCCATCATGTCTAAAGACATTTAGAAGGGTGGGGACAGCCAAGATGGCATGCAAGAACACAAGACAACAGGAGAAACAAGTCTCTGAAACTAAAGATTGTGTCTTCAAGCTGGCAGAAAGCTGTCTTATATTTTCTCAGGGTAAAGGAGGCTTTCCAGAAAACTGGTAATTAGTGCCTCCTGAAGTTAACTGGTGTAGTTACCAGAGTCTGATGACTGCCTTGATTGGCAAGTGATCATAGTGAGTCTAGCCTAAAGAAAAACTCTTTATCTCTTCAAGTGTAATATTGTCAGGAGAGTG